CAAAAGTCGAAAATAAAATAAAAGAATAACTACTCTTAAAATGAATCAACATTCGCGAAAAGATCAAAGCAACAGTGACAGTTTATGAAATTAGAAAACATCATAACAAATACATTTTTTATGGCTCGAACATAAAATTAATGAGAAACTGATTTCAAATTGGAATTAAAACAGCAGGCCCAACAATCTGCTCCTAATCATTTGTCAAACAAATAGATCACATGCTGGATAAGCCCACAGAATTTAACCAAAGGTATGTTCGATTCGATTGATTATTAACTATTCGACAACTTTTTACATCTTATTACATCTGAGTCATATTAATCAAACTTTTTTGCAAATACTACTCATCTAAATTTTTAAATACAAATGTAACCTGTATAAATACTCAAGAGGGGATTCTAGGGCCAGTGGCTTTTCCATTTTCTGAGCAGCCACCCTTCACTCCAAACACTACTTATATAATAGTTGTTTGTCATCTAAAGTGTGATTTGGGGAGATAATATATTAATCTGAATTACTCATGATAATGTAGTTATTATTGAATGATTACAATTAAAAGGATTTGTTTTTCGAAAATGACAGAAAAATTCAAATCTAACAAATGCTAATTATATCAGAAGTTTAGAACTATAGTCGTTTGTGGCATGGGATGGCACCTACCATGTTTGATTTTCTTACCGTGGTCCTACCATGGGATGACTTTTCCATTTTCTTACCGCGGATCTCGAAGACGATCATCGGAGTGGTCGAGCGGCTGAGCGGATCTCAAAGATGAGGGGAGAACCTAACCCTAGAGTCAAGGTTAGGAGTGAAAGGTGGCGGCTAAGAAAATGGAAAAGCCACTGGCCCTAGAATCCCCTCGAGTATTTATATAGGTTACATTTGTATATAAAAATTTAGATAAGTAGTGTTTGCAAAAAAGTTTAATTAATATGACTCAGACGTAATAAGATGTAAAAAGTTATCGAATACTTAACAATCAATCGAATCGAACATATCTTTGGTTAAATTCTATTCGTTTATAAATCGAATATCTAAAAAATATGTTTATTACTAAATGAACTATCGAATCGAACTTGATCGAATATTTGGCCGAATAATAATTGAACTGTTTATTAATTATTCGGTTCACTTCCACCCCTACAAATAAGTCCCTTATGTATGAATAAATTACATATAATTCCTTATGTTGTTGCAAAGTACATATTTTTCACTTAAATCAAATATTGTTAATAAAGGCAGTCCAAATTTATTTTTATTGCCAAATAAGTGATTCCATTGTAACAAAATTAAGGTTCGCTTAAGTCTTATCATTTTTCTTCAATAATATACAACTTGGTTTTTACAATACATGAGATAATAATAATGAATAATTGATGAATTAAATATATTATTAAAAAAACTAATCAATTAATGTGCATCGTGTATTTGGATGGTTAACACTAGGGGTGGAAACGAAGCGAATTTGAACGAATAGTGCCTTATTCGAATTCGGCTCAATTAGTACTATTCGTGTTCGTGTTCGAATTCGACTCGAATACTATTTAGACTTCGAATTCGCTTCGTTTAGTTGTGCTGGTGTTCGGTAAATATTCGCAAACATTCAATTAACACTATTTAATCGTGAAAATAAACAGGGAAATAAGATATCAAGGGAAGCAGAGAATAAACGGGGAAATAATTTGTTGGAAATAGTTTTTACAAAAGTTTTTTTTTACCTTTCGAGTGAGAAAAAGCAGAGAATCACGGCACAAATCTCCAAGATCTACAGAGATCGAGGGAAGTGGGCGTTGCCGCGGGGAGGGAGGAGGTCGTTGGCTTTCGAGGAGGGCGCGGGGAGGAGGGTGTCGTCGCGGGGAGGAGGGCGTCGAAGAGGGAGGAGCACAGGTCGTTGGAGAGCACGTCGTCGCGGGTAGGGAGGGCGTCGTCGGAGCGGGAGGAGGGCGTCGTCGCGGGTAGGGAGGACTTAGGAGTTTGGCTGCCGTTTATGAGATGGGGACTTGGGCGGCGTCGTTGAGAGATGGGGACTTTGGGAGTTCGGCTGCCTCAGATCAGATTAGGGTTTATGAGATGAAGAAATTTTCGCTGTAGATGCCAGATTTAATCCATAAAACCGATCCAATTTAAATTTATTTACGAGAATGGACTCACTTTGAATTAATTCCGGTACTAATTAGTCGGGTTGCCAACCCCGACTAATTAGTAGCTTAATTACAAGTGGGGTCAGAGAGCAGGAAAGGTTTACGGCTGTTAATTAGGCTACTAATTAGTCGGGGTTGGTAACATCTACTAATTAGTATCACAATTAACTCAAAATGGTCGATAATCGATTCTTATAAATAACTTTAAAGTGGATCGGTTTTAGGGATTAAATATGTGAATGGGTCTACAGTAAAAAAAAAATTCTTTAGGGGGGGTTAGTCACCTAGAACTTTTTAAGTAGAACTGGGATAATTGGTAAAGTGGGATAATTTTTTGACACTGGGATAATTTAGTGGAACAATGATGGGTAATTCTTAAAGTGGGATAATTTGGTAGGATAATTTAGTGGGATAATGATGGATAATATTATGAAGTTGCATAATTTGGTAGGATAATTTGGTGGGGGTAATGGTGGGTATAAATTACTATTGTTAATAATTGTATATTAAAAATAATATAATATTGATAAGCAAATTCTAGTAATAACTATAAAATATAATGCAATAAAGCATCACTATTCATCTCAAATAATAAAATAATTTACAAATAAATAAAAATCTAAATCCCTAGAGTGACATGACTTCCATCATCCCACATGGCTTCTATCATCCCACATGGCATCTGCCATAGAATTTCTCCAAGCTCCTATAGCTGCTTGTTAAGTCTGTAACTCGTCTTCTTTATCGGAGTCATTGTCTGCATCAGCAACATTTCGCGGAGCTTCTAGTGGAGGATCATAAATGTCGAAGTTCAAATCTCATAACATCATAAAGAAAGAAAAATAAGCATTTTTCAGCCATTAACCCTTTGGACTAATGTCATCATGATCGCTGAAACCAAATCAGCAAATAAATGAAATGTACACAGGAATCATCCATGGCCGCTAAACAGATGATTGACATATGAACTAGAAATATCCCAATCAATTTACTGAGCCGATTTAATAATAATAGATATCACCATTAACCATTCAACATCTAATATTCATCAATGTGATCGCAAAGTTACTTTCTAACTTATAAAAAAACATAAATAGCCCGCATATCTTTAGCACTAACCCACCAACACTATATTCTTAACCTAAACCACTGTTGTGGAGAGAAAACTTAGATCAAACAAATAATAATAAAGTAATTTAACGTCAAAAAGCTATCAATAAAGCAATACATCTTGAAGATAATAATAAAAGATCTAATCATCACAAAAACAAAGTAAAGACAGAAAAATGAACGGATGATTGACTTCATGACAGAGAAACTAACCAAGAGGGAGGGAGGTGGTGTTTCACTTTTTTTCCCATTTGTATTCTTTCTAATGTGTGGGATAATTTGAGAGAGGAGAACTTATGGTTATATATATAGGTAGTATAATTTGTGGGATAATTATGACCAATTATCCCAATTCTAATTCTAGTAGAATTCTACTTGACTAACGCACCAAAAAAATAATACAGTTCTAGTTTTACAAAAGTTCTACTTGACTAACACTATAAAAAAATATCTCATTTCCTAGTTCTATGTGACTAACACCTTAAAAATTTATCCCACAAATTATCCCAGTTCCAGTTTTAAGTTCTAGATGACTAACCCCCCCTTATGAGATGGGTCACTTGGGAGTTCTATTTATATTGGGTCATTAGTTGTTGGGAATAAATTTGAACCACTCATTGATGACCCAAAGAACACGTGAAACCCTAGGTCTCTTAAAAAATTTATTTATATAAGTTATCGAATAGTTAATAAACAACCGAATTGAATATATCTTTAGTTAAATTCTATTCGTTTATAAGCTGAATCCTGAAAAATATTCATTTAGTATTAAATGAACTGTCAGATCGAATATGACCGAATATCTGGACGAATATTGGCCATTTATTAAATATTTGGTTCACTTCCACCCATAGTCGCAGCGTCAACAGCCCTAGATTCGCCGACAGCGTGACTCGCTGTGGCCACTCCTTCAAGCGATGGACTAGCGGTGATCGTCAAGAGATCGAGCTCCAGATCAACTCCCCAAGGTCGAAGAGCCCCGCCAGAGGATCGCCGAGCACAGTCATTCGAGTCCACCATTCTGCTTTGGTAGAATGTACCCATCCGGGGGATCTGAAAGTTTGTGCGGGAAATTCACCTTTTGCAGCCATGAATCGTCTGATAAAAGTGTTTGTCGGGCTCGCCGCTTCACCAACATGGTTCCAAAGCTGATATTTGTCGTCCCCAACCTGTTGGACGAACACCCTGAAAGGTCAAATTGCCGATCACGACCCCCATCTTGTTCCTTAACAAGGTAGTGCATGTGTTGTGGGATAGATGCACATTGAAAATATGACAGAGGGAACATCCTATCCATCTCAGGCAAGAAGAAATGGCGGTTTCCAATTTTTCTTAGCCATTTGTAGTTTCCGTTGTCTCCAAGGTTTTTATTCACTTTAACAGAGTCCCCAAACAGAAAGGCATGCTTGTTGAATTTCTTACGGTCCAGAGTTTCAAACTTAGCGTCATTGACTAAAATCCTAAGTGTCGTTGGAGTAATATGTGTGATCATGTTCACACGTTCCTTATTAGCATCCTGGAAAATGGGAAGTTCTTGGTGTAGATTGAATCGCATATTATGATCCGTGCCACCTTCATGACCAAAGTAATGGCGGAATGAAAGAGGTTCATTGGGGTAGCGTACTGCAAAAGAAAGAAACAATCAGTTAGCGCAGAGCTAAAACAAGTCTAAAAAGATTTGTTCAGAACGCAAGAGGTCTGACCCTGCGTCTCAAAATCAAAACACAAGAGGTCTGACCTTGCGTCTCAAAACCAAAACACAAGAGGTCTGACCCTAAGTCTTAAAATCAAAATGCAAGAGGTCTAACCCTCAGTCTCAAAGCCAAAACGCAAGAGATTGAAACTTACGTTCCAGAATCAAAACGACAGGCTCAGACCCGCGTTTCAAGTTCAAAACGCAGAGGTCGAGCCCTGCATTATCAAACGTGAGTGTTTGTGTCAAAAGTTGACTTTGTTATGGAATTCATTATATCTTCGGTCGTTTACAACAAATTCAAAGAAATAGTCTTTTTATAAGACCTCTTTTACACAACAAAAGGAAAATTACAACTCTTGAGAAACAAACGCAGGATCGTTGTTTGGATCGCTGCTTGCTTGGGATCTTTGCCTGTGCCGGGAGCGCTTTGACTCGTGGACCACCGAATCACAGATTCTGATTGAACCGTGAGGGGTTTAATGATTCTTCCTTTGTTTATCAAAGTAAGAATTTGAAGCGAATATCTTATCGATGTAAGATGTTCACTCTTCTAAAGATCAAGTCAGAGCTTAGATCTCTAGGAATGGCCAAAAGCTTCTTGAGGATGTTTGTGAAGAAGAAAGACTCTCTCTCTTGCTCTAATTCACCAAAACTCAAGGTTCTTTGCTCTAATCTGCTCTGGAAATGCTCAGCCCCTGTCAATGATGACCATAGGGGGTATTTATAGGGGTAGCAATGCACCACAGTTGAGATGGAAGCGAAATAACCGATCAGACGAACTATCTTTGACCGCTGCAGTCTACACTGCCGCGGCTATTGGCGTGACAGTGTGGACTGCCGCGGCCAAAGGGGTGGTTACCAGCACGTTCCATCGTGCTTGAAACCGTTCTCCCACGACCTTTAACCACCTTTCAAACGCTGTTTGTTGGTGTGTACATGTTCTTCCATGTTGTTTCGCTTCCTTTGAATCATTCCCTTCTGATTAAGAGAGCAGCGTTTATCGTCTTCTCTTTGCTTTGAGTGGTATTTGGATGTCTGTAAGCATTTTTCGATGTCTACAGATACATCCTCCAAAGTATTCCAGACTCATTCTTTTATAGAGGAGTCTGGGATACTTTGGATAAGACAGATCTTATCTGCAATCCCTTCAATGCTTGATTGAGTAGATCGTGGAGAGGAGTCCATAAAATAGCTTCGGCTCTTGATCTCTTCATCCATTAGTCTATTCAGTTCTTTGTAGAATAGCTAATGCTTCTCCGGCACTGCGTTTATCGCTGAACCGTTGTTGAGATTTTGAATCGAGGCTGGTATTTCCATATTGATGCTCGTTTGTCCTTTGAGAGTTCGTCAGGTTATCCTTAAGAATATTCATATTAATATTCTCCAGAAACTTCCTGTTGAGGGTAGGGGAACAGTTTAGACTCGTGTACCTATTGGACGAAGAATGGAGAAATAGTTTATACTCATATGCTCTATTGGAGTGTTCGGGAAACAGTTTAACCTCATGTACCCGTTGGGAGGTTCAAGGAGATGCAGTTTATACTCATATACTCATCAGAGTGTCTTGGTCTCTTTTTTGTTGGTAGAGATGAACCCGATGATGGAGAGGAAGAATTTTATATTCTATCTCCTGGTCTCTTGTTTATTGGTAGAGATAAACCCAAAATTGGAGAGGAAGAATTTTATATTCTATCTCCTGGTGCAAAAGAAACTCAAAGTGGGATCTCCACTTAAAGAATCTAGATTGGTTTGAATAATCCTAACTGTCATAAGGTTTGACTATTCAACTCAAAAGGGGACCTTTTGTTCGTTAAATGAATCAGAAGGAGGTTTTGACTGTGATCCTAACTGTAGTAAGGTTTGACCAAGTGGGAGTTTTGAGACGATCCTAACCGTTTAAAGATTTGATCGTTCAATTTGTGGACTTCTCGTTCATAGAAGGAATCGAGAGGGGATTTTAGCTTTGGTCCTAACTGTTTAAAGGTTTGACCAAGTGGGAGTTTTGAGACGATCTTAACTGTTTAAAGGTTTGATCGTTCAATGTGTGGACCTCTCGTTCATGGAAGGAATCGAGAGGGGATTTTGGTTTTGGTCCTAACTGTTTAAAGGTTTGACCAAGTGGGGACTTGAGACGATCCTAACT